CACTGCGCATATTTGAGTAATATTAATCGATATAATTTTTTTTTTTACACGTGACCAACTGTTTTTTTATGTTGCATACATATTGTACTTTGGGTTCGTTTCCATGATGCTATGTTTCCATTTCCATCAAGGATAAAAGAAGTCGATACACTAGCTCAGTCATAGTCTTTCTATTTGTAGTATCAAATGTTGAAAAAGTGGATATACAGTGTATAGAACAACAAACTCATAGTCTTTCTATATATTATTCACTTTATATAGTATCAAATGTTACACAATTTTTTCCATGCCCATTTACATTAAAACTATCTTTATCTGACTTATTTTTTCTTTTAGTTTATGAACACCGAAATCAATGTCATGAACACTCGAAATGCCCATCAATACTAAGACCGGGGACTGACAACATGGATTTGCTCATGTTGCTTTTAAATCAGTTATCAAATCTTACTTTTTTCTATATCACATAAATCAAGTTCTGATTGAATATTTTATCTATGAAGTCTTATCAAATATTAAAGGTTTGTTAGTTATCAGTTTCTTTAAAAATGGCCAGTAACTTAGATCCGTCAGCCGCGTCCACCTCTGTATTTTCAGACCTGTTTATCGAAAACGAAGGACTTTTAATTAAACTTAACGTTAATTACTATGCGAATATAGTTTACGGACATCGCCTGAATATAGTTTACGGACATTACCCTATACAAAGTATATTTTTAGAGGAGTAAGCATAAACTGTGGTACAGGCGTTTCTTTGCAAAATTCAGTCATTTATAAGTATATTATTACATTCTGGGCAACTATAATTTCAAATGCGCACCTTATAACTAACCTGCGTATAAAATAGAAGTCAACTTGTCTAATTGATAAAAATTCTTTCTAGTGGTTTTACTTACATGTATGTCTCGTCACGACTACAGATGTCTGCCAATATTTACATTGTCAATTGTAGGATTGATTGCGGCTGTGAAAATGATGGACTGTAGTACTTAAATATGACAAAACGAGATCTTATTCTTAAAGCATAGACCCCAAAAAACCAGAGCAGCATTAATCGTGGCAACGACATGATGTAATATACGATACCTCACTGAAAGAGAAAAAAACTGTAGCTGTTATTTCAAAAATGTTCACAAAAAGGTTGTAATAATTTGTAGATCTACACTTGAGTGCCACCAACTCCCGTTCAAACAAAGCCATTTTCAGCAAACCAGTGGTATTCACTAAGATAAATGAAGAAAGCTTTCCGTTTAATCCGATCTGGGGTGATTTATCACAATTTCATAATGTCATTTGGGACTTTCCTGCATCGTAAGTCTACTGTCGACATCGTTTCCATAGCGATGATATAATATTAGCAGTTAATATGGAACATCCTCTTCAAAAAGGAATAAAACCGTTCTTATAATTCTGATTAGAAGGCGTCGTTTCCGCTGATATTAAAAATAGAGGTCTTAACGTGATCAGATTATTAATGAATATTTTAATTTGATTTTTATTTGTTTATGCACTGCTAATGTTATGGGCTTTGTATTTTTTTATTGCATTTTATAGTCAATAATAATAATAAATAAAGAAATGATAAGGAATGAATTAAGCTGCTTTGTTTAAACTATGATACATGTAAGGTTACTTAAATATGAGGGGAGAAAAATGGAGACTGTGTACATTTGGGGATCGCTCAAAATAAATTTCTAGTCTTTGTTTATATCTAGGGTTGGTGATTAAATTTCAAATTTCTTTATTGATAATTCTGTCCATAATCCAGAAGTGTTGAGGCAAGCTTGGAATAAGATTTTTGGCTCTCTTTGCTTTGCTTTGAAAAGGAGTTATGCATCACAATTCTATTGACATTAAATTTGTTGACATCATACTCGACGAAGCATCCGGCATGCAAATATTGATTATGGAAATAAAGTCATTATTTTGTTTTCATGGACTACGCTCAACACCTCGCGGACCATCTTCAAATAAACTCATCGGAAGTCAGACTGTCAAATTAGCTTTTGAAAAGTTTTTTTAAATGGTAGAATATAATTAGAAGGTCAAACAATAAATCTCATACACCGCAAGAAATGAAGTTTGCGTTATGGAATTCCCAGATCGGAAAAATAAGATAAGTCAATGTTAAGTAATTCCTCTAGGGTTTGAAAATACCAATTATTACGGTTGTCTTTAATAGTGGTATTCTTGGCGTGATATTTTGCACCAGATTTGTGTTTTTAAAGATTGTTAGAAAATTGCCTCGAAACAGATACCTTCAACAATTCATTCGAACGTGAATATCACAAAAATTACCAAGCGTGCCGTACGCGTTTTAAAGATTTAAAATTCTAGAATTTTTTCTGTTTATTTCCCGGATACTGAGTAAAAGATCCTATACAAAATCAAAAGGATAATGATCGGTTGTGGACATGACAGGACTTAACAACTTTTCGATGTAAATTTTTGTAATTTTTATTATACATTTAACATATTTATTAATAAAGAGAGAACCTTTTTTTAAATACTTTTAGTCTGTGATATACATGTTACATATCGTACAATTTTTTTTTCAATCTGTTTTCCCTTAAATCGTGAGTATTCCTTATTTTTTCTTTTAATGTGTTTAAGAATGATGCAAGAAAATTATTGCGCACAAAATCTCTCTTTCCTTTATATACACTCTATATCATACCTTACAAACAGGAGAGAAAGCCTCGTTAGAATGGTTATTAAAGACCCAATTTTCTGTCCGAGGAGACGCCGTTAAATCTATTCGTTAATTTGGAGCATTTAAAGGTTTTTATTACGAAGAATTGTGCTCGACATTTCAACAAGACCACAATTAAGTTCTATTATTATTATCTTCTACAGGCAGAGCCTAATGACTTTAGAGAGGTGTGAAACAAATGAAGACTTGGAAAATTTATGTACAAATGGACAACATTGATAATTACAAAGAACGAGGGTGCTTTTGAGTAAGATTCGGCAGGAATCTGGGCTCGCTCGAAAAATGAAAATTTCACTGATGCGACACCTGATATTTTAGCATTCTATTGATAAATCGAGCTCTTGTGATAAAGGAAAGGAAAATATTTTCTTGATATTGTGTTCTGATTTGCTAAAATATGCCTTGAAATTTAGGAAAATGAGTCAGTACAAAATATTACATTTTTATAAGTTTTCTATAAAATTGCTATCTCGGGGTCAGCCCTCCACGATTTTAAACCGTTACTTGACTGTGTGCATTTTAACTCCAACAATTGAACAAACACTTGTAATAAACGGAGAGAAAACCCAGAGACCATAAAAATTAACTCTTTTTAAAAAATCATATTGGGGAAAATGCTGTGTTCCATTGTCGTTTTAAAAATATATTTATGTATTTACGGATGATACTTTTAGCACAGTGGTAAACGTTAACTGTTTATGACAGTAGGGAATCGATTTGTCTTGGTTCGATCCTCGCTTCTTGGGGGCGTTTATTCTTTTTTTTTTTCTAAAAGTCTATTCATATGTCAGTTTGATTTTATTTTCCGTTTTTCTAATAAATTTAAATTAAACTTTGATTCTCTTCGACCTAGATCAAATGCAATTATTCCGACCCATTAAAATCTTAATACATTTGCATTTAACTATATACCCTATAATTTGAAAGCTGTTTATTAATTAAGCGACACGTTATATACATGTATGTTATCGTAACTGTTATAATATTTCAATGAAATATAACAAAATTCCTATCTGCATAGCTTTCGTATAATTTCCCCAGCTGTGGTCAGTCGATGAAATCGTCTGTTTGATTTTGACTTTAAACTATGAACGATTCGTAAAGATTACTAGCCAAATACGCCCATTTTCTTTGCAGTCTGATTAGAAGTTTATTAAAATTTATACCCAAATAATGTTTTTCGCTTCTTGGGCTTTATAATAAGATGCTTCTCCGACCGACAAGTTGCAAAGAATGTTATTAGAGATGTGAAATGTATTACTGGAGTCAATTATTCTTGTATAAAGTAGGCATGATTAGCGCGCATTCTTATCCAACATAGGGACTTAAGTATTTCCTAAGTGACATCAAGATTCGTAAATTCTGTTTTCTTGATCCTTTTCACATTGATTTTCTGTGATGCCTACAGCAAAAATGAAGATGGAGTGGATCAGAGGATTACTCAAAGCATTGTTAGAGTCGTTTTGACAAAAGCGCCGAGTGCCCTGTCCATGAAATCTCTACTTCGCTCTGTTATCAAAAAATCCTTCTGTTCATGTGCCAAATATAAAAAGAATAAAGCTTCTGTGGAAAGTGTAAAATAGTTAGATTTGTACTACTTGAGAGTGTTCTTGAATAATCAAGGTGCATCTGATTTTGAGTAAAAATTTATTTGAATAATAAGGGAAACAGCAACATTACATTTATAAGTTTGCATGTTGGAGCATGATGTTTTGCGTCGATGTCGGAAAATGAAAAAGGCAAAGGCCTTATGGTATACTGATAATGTAAGTTTTTCTTTCAATTTTGAAAAATAATTGAAAATTTGCCCATTTAATTATAACACAAACAATCAACATCAATTTTACATTTATCGTGAAGTGGATTGCATATAGCAACAATTGAGATACTTGAATTAATGTTTGCGATACATTTGCGTTTTGTGATCTACTATTGGCCGTGATCCTGTCTCGTATATTTAAGAATTTACACATTTCCACACGATATCTCCGAAAGAACTTTGTCAGGAATTATCGAGACACTGTTAGTCTAATAATACGTTAAAGCACGAATCTCTGTTTCATGCAATTCAAACCAAAGTGAAGAATATGGTAAACGTTATATTACTCCTAATGCTTGATTATATCCAGCTGTAATTCACAATTTTCGCCCCCTGATGGTTGATTGATATTGTCATATTGAAACTCTTTTTACTTATGATTATGTGTTCTGGTCATGACTATTATTACATTTTCTGTCATGGTTCGTCTCAAAATTCATTATTTCTCTGTTTGTTATTTCATTTCAGTGTCCACTAACGAGATAACAGACACTTGGATGGAGGATGTCACCTCATTCTTGGATGCCGTTTGCACCCGATTTTCCCCTGACGTCTATTTGTTATAACCTGCGCAATTCCTTACAATAGTTGTGCAACATCATTGAAAGGCTAACTTAATTAAGACTTTGCCTGAAAAATCGTCTGTGTTTATTGTCATATAGAATCATCTCGATTTTGCGCACAGTCATAATGAACTATTCTGATGTCTCGCCGTTTTCCGATACGACAGTTAATTTTTCTGTCCCTTTGTCCACTCGGAACGACACCACAACAGTATCAGACATGGGAGTTGTGAGAGGCATCAGTGCCGTCCCAGAACTGTTAGCGTTCCAGAGCCGATACCAGATAATTCATGGCTACCTTGCCCCAATCATCTGTATTTTTGGTGTGGTTGCAAATATTCTGAATATAGTAGTATTGACGAGGAAAAATATGCAGACTTCTACGAATGTTATTTTAACAGGTTTGGCTATATCAGACGGTCTAACTATGGCGGCCTACATTCCATACGCTTTGTTGCTGTATGTGATTCACGGAACTAGGAGCACCCCAATCCGAGATTCTTACAGGGTAGCTCAATTCAGTATCGGGTACGCATTAGTTAGTGTTGTTGTTCACTCTATATCAATATGGCTGACGGTTACTTTAGCTTTGTTTCGGTATATTTTCATCCGTTTTCCTCGCCTTGGTGCGCAGTACTGTAACATACACAAGGCCAAAATCGCCGTCGTGGCAGTGGTTATAGTAGTCTCACTAGTATGTGTTCCGTACTCTGTAAATTTTACAATAGGAGTACACAATTTTACGGATCCTAATGGACTGATACCAAACGGGACAGTCTACTTCATACAAATGAAACAAAACAGTGACTTTGAAAAGATATTGTACAATATAAATTTCTGGATACAAGCGATCCTTATAAAACTCCTACCAAGTTTCTTATTGACCATTTTTAGTATTCTTTTAGTGAATACCATGAGAAATGCTGAAAAGCGAAGGAAGAAACTGTTAAATAATGTCCCCATGTCGGATGAGAATGGGGCTACTAGTACTAGCAGCACGACGACTGCATCGAGGAAGCAGAAAAAAAGTCGCAGTAACCGGACAACCAAGATGCTTTTGGCCGTGGTTATTCTATTTTTATTTACAGAAACACCTCAAGGAGTTCTGAGCGTCATGGGTGGTCTAGATGATAGTTTTTTTACGCATATTTATATCCCTTTAGGGGATTTACTGGATATAATAACATTGATAAACAATGGAATCAATTTCGTTTTGTACTGCACCATGAGCAAACAGTTTAGAGACACGTTCTTGAAATTATTTCTTAAAAACGTTCTTCATCAGGAATACCGGCGGACCAAAAACACTTACACAGCGGCCCAAGCTACGCAAGCGACCAAAGACTCCGATGTGTAATTTTTTTTTTAGTAAATGCGGAACTCTAACTACGATTATTTGAATATTTTAGTCATTAATTGCGGTGAGTTTTTTGGTTCATATATGGTGTACAGACTTTACCCTAAGCATATGTTTACATGTATTCCTTATTATAAGCTTTATCTGTATTAGAAATATTGAATGCTCAAGCTCTTACATACATGTATGTATTCGTTATTCATTTTTATATCCACTATCTTCATATTAATAATGGAAAAGCTAAAACATCCATTTTTTATTTTTTTTCATTTATTTTTCATTTATCCATGCTTCTATGGAAAGATTCAGAATTGAGAAAATGATCTGATATTTTTATTTAATTTTTGGTGTAAATGAATTATGTTTTTTTCTGCGTTGGATTACATCCAAAAACGTTTGAAGGTATTTTTAATAGTTCGGAGAACAAATCATCTTTAATACAACCAAGTCGAAACCCATAAAACCAAATACACTGAATAATTAATTTCATTTTAACTTTACAGTATTTAACTGATCGTTAACAGAGATCAATCGTGTCCAAGATATCTCATTTCCTTTACCTTAGGTTTTTTATGTAATCGACAAAACTTAATTATCTTTTTGTCTAGACATGATTGAAAAGATTTTTGACTTTTTCTGCAGAATCGTCTGACGCATTTCTGTTTATCTACTTGCAGACTATTTTCTCATTTTTTAATCCAACTTCTCAACGTCACATTGTCACCTACGTATATCACGCAAACAGGCCACTCACCGCTTCTGTTAAAGATTTAAATTTGTTTAAATGTTTCTGTTTTTGTGTTTAAAAAATCTAAATGAATGTTTAAAAATAAATAAATGTACGTTGACAGTGTTGAATTTTTATCATACTCAGTTACCACTTGACCCTGTGTGTTTCCCACCGTCATCAACTTGGGTGAATATACATAATTTAATTATTTTTATAAAGTGAATCAATATCAACTTGAATAAACATTTTTTTTACTACACATTATAGTCAAACCATTTTGCTTTCTATAAAGTAATGAACGTATCTATGAAATTGCATCTACTTTTCAACATTTTTTTTTAAATTATAACCTTTATTTAAAAAAAACAAACTGAGATCAACAAGGATAAAAAGGAAATACTGTGACGTACTTTGTCCCGCGTGGGGTTAACGCTATTTACGCGGTCAACCCCCCCCCCCCCCCCACCCAAAAAAATAAAATCTGGCACAGCGTACCTAAAATTCATTAAAGAGATAAAGTGCCTATCAAATAGATCCACGTTTAGTCGCAGATTGAACAGAAATCGTGATTCAGCGAAATTATGACCCTGTGGAAAAAATTCGTTTTCAGTATTGTTATTAAAGACAGAATATTCGTGTACCCGTAAAATTGTTCATAAAGCTAAAATAAAATGACGGTTTCCAAATAAAAGTTGTTTTTAATTAAAAGCGATAAAACATAAATGAATCCTAAAATTCACTTTATAGGAAGTCATTTTTTTAAATATCACTCTTTTAATATTATTAATTGTAACTAAAGGTAATTTTTCTTTCGTTTATTCTCCGTATTGGAGAAAGTGACATAATTGAGTAATGATGTCCGGTACGATTTTAATATCATAAAAAGCAAAGCAAAAAAGAGAAAGGCTATTTGAAAACAAAAGACTTTACTACATACAGGTGTATGTTGATTTATTACATAAAAGACAGATGCTAATTGATTTGGACATTGTTTTTCTTTTTTTTTTTTTTTCTTTTTTTTTTTTTGATGAGCGTAATTCCATGCTGCAAAAATTAATTTTTTCCTACATATTTTACCTTTTTACTTTTGACTGGCAATAAAAAAAAAATAAAAAAAAAAAAAATAAAAAAAACCCCATCCCTTTGACCATAGTCGTTAAAACAATCAGGATCTCTGCATATACATGTATAGTTTCGTGGAAAGAACCTGTGGCGGTAAATCTTAATTCTAAAAGTAATTTTACGGCATTTAACCATTTCCCATTTGTTGGGGCATCATGAACCTTGTTTCAAGATGGCTAAATATTTCCTTGAGGTTTCTCATTGGTTTGCGCTTTATCTGATTGAAAACACCAACTACAGGTGTATTCAACAGATGTCCATTTAGGACCTACCAAAAATATATTTGAATTCGAAATAATGAATTGTCGAGTTATTTCAACGAATTATATTCTTTTTAATATTATTTAAAGAAAAATAAATTTGTTTTAACAAATTTGATCTACTATAACAACTTTTAAAAATTATTTTAACAAATTCTGAAACAAATTCGGCAATTTGTCAAATCGAATAAGCAAGTTTCGAGATTATCTCCCTTAGTGCGCTCTTTCGTTACAGAGGGGAGTATGGTTTCCGCATAAACCGGCAGGTGGGACAGTTATTTTTATCAAAATGTTTGTCAGGATGACCTCATCAACTCGAAAGTTACCGAATTTAAGTAAAGAAGTCTTTTTTCCTACCAAAAGAATCGGAACAAAAGAAAATATCAGCGGATAAGACTGATCAGACGAGGAAGAAGCATGGGTCTCTAGTAAATACACATGCAACTGATCATTGCACATCGGTATTCTGAATAACACACTGACCCTTTCCCCTTATAATAATTTCAAAGAGTCCACTAACTTTTTAGAAGAGGTTTGTACAATCAAGGATTTCCGAAGCATCTTTTAACAAATTTATCTTTTAGAAACTATGACGGTTCTTTTGTTTTCTAGTATCGGCCGGACTATCCTAATTTAAAGAAGATTTAGTAAATCTTGTATAGTGGGGCTCAAAAAAATCATCAAGATCATCACTGCTTGACATTATAATCTTTCTCTACATTTATAAATGAATTTTAAAAGCCCTAATGATCGTTCATTTATACTATTTGCGCCTCTATCGTGCGAGAGCTACAATCTCGAAACTTGCGTATTCAAAAATATTTTCAGTAGGTCTTGAATGGGCTTTCGTAACATACAGCCAGCATTCAACAATTTCTATGGTATGATTTTTCACATAAATGTAATAGAAGGTATAATAGAAATAAGAACAATTATTTTCAAATGAAAATATGGAATATCAGTTTGTTTATCCGATAACTTAATTACAGAACTGCATAAATCTAAGACACTTTATATTCGCATGGCAAATGTTTAAATGCTAGGATTTATGTTCAGTCACAGTAACAGGTGCAGATTCAGGATATCTTTGGGCGCAATTTTTAGACAGCTTTCCGATAACAGAAACTAAAAATACTTGTAGATAATATGACATAAGTAGCATAATATGTAAAGATAATGAACATTGATCAAGCTCAAAAGTGCATTTTAACAATAAGTATTAAATGTGAGCAGAGCCAACAGGTATAAATCCCCTGTCGCCCGGTCACACCCGCCGTGTGCCCCTTGTGATCGGCTGAAGTAAATTATTAGTCTAACAATTTGTATGAAAGACGTCAGTCGTCAGTCAGTATTCGACCTTACGACTGTTTATATCTGCAAACAAGGTTATTGTATCGAAAAATAGAATTTGTGAATGTTGAAGTTATACAAAATTGTTTATTTCCTTGCATCATCAACTTATTTGTTAATAGCCTGGCTCGTTTAAAAACTGTTCGTAGGCAGAATATGCTCTTCGAATCAACTGGGAGACATACGCTTTATATGCAGGTGATAATGGTATATTGCTATATAAAAAGGGAAGTTGATAGAACGATAGAAAACTGTTATTGTTTAATGTCATGAAGTTTGGTCGTTAGTTTCCACCCATATTTTTCTCAAGTAAGATAATCAGACATAGAAAAAGATGTGTCAGACTGTGTGGTGTCTACTGTATATCGTATTTTTTATTTCGAAATAAATGGGATATATCGAACCAACATAAGAATGAAAATGAGTATTATTGATTGACAAAACGTTGTTGACATATCTAAATGTCGAATTGAAGGCCAAAGCAAGAGACTTCTTTTCATACAGTAGTTATTTAAGAAGGGATTCTTCTCGTGTTTATCATACTTAAAAATTAATGAAATTTTCACAGATTCAAGAAGACAATATCACAAAGTGATGACATCAATTACATTATACTTGACCATTTATTAAAATGTCAAGGTCATCTTTTCTTTGTCAATAAGAATTAAAAAATATTGTTGCCAATCATGTAATGCTTATTTTTATTTTAAAAGATTAAGTCTATTTCTTTTTACATAAAAAGTTGACACAACAAAAGGTCTACCAGACGATAATATCAAATATTGAGATAAACAGTTAATCTAAATAGATATTGGGTAACCCTAAATTCCTCTATTTTTCTTAATTTTTTTTTAGGGAATATTAGTTATTTTAAAATGCTTTGTATATTTAAAATTTTATTGTTTTTATATATGGTAAAGAAGTCATGTAAAGGTACGAAATGATACAAAAACCTAGAGTTTTGACCGTTTAATAAAAGAGAAAAACATTTCTTACTGAATTTTTACTCGAATCTGTTCTTAGAATCCTTAGCTTTCAAAGGCTATAAGATAGCAATTTGTCTAGAAAATCATATTTATTAATTATTATTAATTTCAGTTACTACAAATATTTCCTTAAGCCTTTGATTGTTTAAATATGCCTTTTAAATTAACTGTTCTGTAGTAATTTTGAGAAGCATAAAAGGAGATATTTTCATACGCCGCCATTCCGCCAAAAATATAGTCCCTGCTAGATTTCAAAATCAATTTATCATTACATTTTAAATTGTACAATTATGGAAAACAAAGAAAATTATGATGTTTAAAAATCTTAACATCTAAATATAAATAACATGTCAGGAAATATACCTTGAGTATTTCATTTAGAAATAAAAACCAAACAAGAATCCCTCCTTAAGGAGACTGGATCCTGCTTTCAGTTTAAAGAATTTTTTTATCAAGTATATTTTTAATATCTACACACTACATGTAGTTTAATTAAAAATCAAAACAATATGCTTCTTTTTGGTGCTACGTTACATTTAATATGACCTTTTTGCACTGAAATTTTGTCTCAAACATAAATAATCTCTTCCAAGTATTCCTCCAATAATTTTTCTAAATAAATTATTGGGACCAAATATACCTTAATCTATCTTCTTTCTCAGCATCGAGGTATGCCCATCCCTTCGTATTCGTTACACCTAATTGCTTTTACCTGGTCACTACTGCATTTGGTACAGGTATATCTGAATCTTTTTATTGTCCCCCGCTTTCACTGAAAGTGGGGATATATATTTGGG